ATATAAGGTATCACATTTCTCTATATCTACATATAAAATGATATCCTAGATGGCTGAATGCTCAGCTAAAGCAATGAACTCTGCTTTCTCAGGAATGCTGATTGGGAAGCCTACTGACAGCCTGCAGCAATAAGCCAAACCCCTCACTCCCTGCCCACCTCCTTTCCATACTTTGTGACAGGTGGCTCTGAAGCCTTTTTTACCTCCTTGTAGATGTTGGAGGGATGGTCTCTTCGGCCACACAAGTCAGTTATCGTCTTACAGCAGCTGTCTGGCACTTTCCGTCCACTGGCCTCTGGAGATTTGATCCACAGGCTGTCGGCCCAGTCTGAGTAGTTGTTGCTCCCACAGCACTTGAACTGTACACACAGAGAGCAAAGGCTGAGCCTGCAAGCACTGCAACCTCCTTCTCCCTCCAGCCTCCCACACCAAGCACTGGGCTTCACCCTCCTTTGCAGAGTCTCCAGCTATCTCACAGACTTTTTTTTCCTTTCAGGCTACTATAAATCAAGAGTGAGTTTTGTGTTGAGTCCCCCAAAAGGCCATTAAATATCAGGTTCATCCATCCTCCAGCAGCTGTGACTTTTGGTTACCACTGGGATGAACTGTAACCAGGTGCACCAGCAGCCGTCTCAGCTCTTAACCATGTGTTAATGATAGTAACAGGGTAAGTTTAATTACCAGTTACTGTCACAAATGCACCTGCCATGGCACTACATGTTTAGCAGTCCCCATGCTTTCAAAGTGCCTATGCACAAGGGCCCTTTCTGGGGGAAAACCTGTCAGAACTGTGGCAGTCCTAACCTGAACCAGCCCTGAGCCAGGCACAGCTAGCAACAGCAGCCAAAAAGCTCTTCCATTACATCTTGCTCTCTAGGGTACCGAGAAGCTTAATGAAAAATGTCATCAATTTCTCCAAAGCTTTGAACTGGCAAAAAAACAGTCGTCAGAGTGATGTGGCAGCTCCAAGTTCACCCTGGAAGTGGTTCAGGTGTTGTTTCCCCATTGGTACTGGGCATGCAATTCAGTGATCACCCCATGCAAGTCTGAGGGTTGCATGGCTCAGTCCCTACACATTGCCCAGTTTTGTCTTGAATCAGAACAAGCAGAACATACACATGGCACACAGCAGAAATATCTGGAGGTTGGAGGTCAAGAGATGCCTTTTGTGTGCTTCATTTTAAGCCCTGCAATTGCATGAATTCTCTCTGCCTCCAGACGTACTTACCTCCTGCTGCAGTTTGTCTACTGCACTGGTAACACTCTCTTCTCCCTCCTTACGGTACTTCTGGGTCATGGTGTTCTTCAGATTTTGCTTCAGCTCCATGCTCAGCTGAATGGAAGAGACAAGGGGGATAAAATCACAAGGCAAACTCACTCCTCAGAGCAACCCAGAGCCCTACAAGTTTCACTGCCTTTACTCCAAGAGGAAAGCAGAGGGCCTAGGGGAAGCTACAGCTTCCTTCTAGATCATCCTTCAAGGCTGGACTGGACAAGCTTATTTCCAAATGCTTACAGATCATGCCTCCATTTTAGTAACTGGAAGGAGCTGCTTTGGGACCAAATTTCAGCCTGTGTTATGCATCCCCATGTGGTTTCTCACCTTAAATGTGTAAGATTGCCAAGACATACCCCAACAAAAGGGAATACAAACTGTGCCTGCTTAAACATGAATATGCCTGTGAGACCACGTGCAGTCTTCTCCCTCTGAAGCCTGTGGCAAAATACTGAAAACCAAATCACTCTGTTCAGGAGCAAAAAGAAATCAGAGTCCTTGGCATGCTGGACTGAAGCCACAGAGACCGAATAGCTCTGGCATCTGCATCATCAAAAAGGATTCCACAGGAGGGAATTAAGTGTCTGATTGCAAAAGTACTGCAAGGCCTTTCTTGATTATAGAGGCAAAGTCTGATTTTGCAAGAGCAAAATTTCTGAAAGCATCATTGTAAACCACTTGGCATGTTCAGGTGATTGGATTCAAACATTTATTCTTGTGGAGACTCTTTTAATCTAGCTGAATTCTCACCCACCTGGGTGGCAGCCAAAAGGTGCTAAAGAGCTGCATCAGTTTTTTTGTCATCCTGGTTCATGCAGCAGCACTGCACTAGTGCAACACCTTCGAAATTCCAAGTTTCCTATACTGCTACACAACATCAACAAGCATTTTGGATGGGGTCAATGAATGAAACAGGTGAGCAGCCTCTCTGTACACCCTTAATCTACACAGTACGTACTAAATGAGAGGGCAAACATCTGGTTATGCTGAATTGTGTGAAATACAGCCCAGAGTTTATTCTCCCTTTGAAACACTTTTTTCCAACCGCACATGTCAGATGGGGACAGCACCTACCTCACAGAGATGGTATCAGGCTTCATTCATTACTATTTGCAAAAATGCTTTGAGATCCTGGGCTGGGAAGCTCTAGGGAAATGCAAAGGACTTAGCGTAATAGAAAGAAAGGAAAAGGCTCAGCAACTGGAAGGTAGAGGCAACTAAAGAGGAGAGTCCATTAGCAGAATGATTACTTGGGAGAAAAGCAGTTACCTGCAGGCTCACGGGGAAGAACTGCAGCATGGAACAGAGATAACAAAAGAATCAGTTTAGACACACACGCACAAGCCTTAGACACCAAAGCAAGGGCAGAAATAAAAACAATGGCACATAGAGCAAGTAGCTTGCAACCAACAGAAAAGGAGGATTTATCAGCCAGAGGGCAAGGGGAAGGGCAGTTAACGATCAGGGATGTGCTCAAGCGACCTAAAACACTCAAGGAGAGAGTTCTGACAATGCTGTCTGTTATTTCGACCTAAGGATCACCTCCTCTTCATCCACTGTCATACATGAACGTCATGCCTGTGCACAGATGGATGGACAGACCCTGCCTTCCTGCCATGCCTGCCAGGATTGATCTTTTCCTGTTAAATATGCACACTCATAGCCCAGAGCCCTCATGGCAGGAGCCAGCACAGTTCTTTGGCTCCTTGCAAACCACCAGTGCCTGTGTTAGCATGGCAAAGCACAGAAGGCCCAAGAGAAGAAGGAATGGCAAGAAATCCTGGCAGTGAAGTCAACAAGATGGGATGTTCAGCTGCTTTTCAGACAGCCACTTGATAACAAGCCTACTTTGCCATTTCCAACCAATTTTCAGACGCAAGAGCAACTTTTCTGGCTGTTCTGCCTTAGTGGTTAAACTTTGAAAACAAAGTGATGACTTAAGCCTCTGCTCTTGGCAACTGCAAAAAGTGCCAAGCTAGACCTGCAGCTGGTGAGAGTCAGTGTTGTTTCTCCAGCCCCTCAGCTGGGCTGGTTAAGTAAAGCTCTCCAAAACTTCTTGTCCTGAAAGAACCTCTCAGCTGGACCATTCATTATCTTTCCAGTCCAAAGCATGGCAGATAGTTTGCTGGATGCAGCAGGAGCTATGTCCTGGCACTAATGTGATTTCAGTGGCTAGCACTACGCCTTGAAGGGTGTTAGGAGTGTTCCTAGATCTACAGAGCCTCAAAAATTGTCTTCCGTGAGGGTCTGCAGAAAAACAGCACAGGAAGGAGCAGAGCAGCAGGACTGAGCAGCCTCCCTAGAGTAACCACCACCACCACTTTGTCAAACACAGTGAATAATCCAGCATCTTCTGTATGGGGGCAGGGAGTGAGTACAGACATGTCAGAAGGTAAACTACCACTAGATCTAGATCCTAAGCCTCCAAGCCCAATTTTGGCTGGAGAAATGGGATGATAACGAGCTGTTTTCTCTCCCTCATTTGAGTCTCTAAGGAGTAATGTCCACTCACCTGCTGGTAATAGATATAGGCCAGGATTCCAGCAATGATCTCCAGGAGAAAGATGCACAGCAACAATATGAAGTACTGTAAAATAATGGGAAAACAGGAAATTAGAACAGAATGTAAGCAGATGTCAGGAACCAGGTTTTCATTAGCTGGTAAAATGCCTTAATCTATGTTTTGAAATGTCTTCACATGCTACGAAATATCTTCATCTATGCTTTTCCATATGCTGGGATTAAGACCTCAATAGGGTAGGAAGGTTAAAAAATACACCAAACTGAAGATAACTGAAGACAAGGAGCAGCAAGTGTGAGTTTAACTCACAGGGCCAGAGGGATACAGAGAATGGGAAAGTGCAGGCAACTGAGATAAGATCACTGTACACTTCAATACCAAAAAAAATGTAAACTTTTGCTTGGTTTGATATTGTTTAGGCCATTTCACCAATTTACTAGGGAACAATGTATGTTATAATGACTGTGATAAAGCTACAGAGAGCCCATTTCACCAAAAATATAGCAGACCAACCAAGCATAATCCATAGGTTTATGTTCCCAGTGACTCCTGTGGGCTCAGCCACAGTCTGAAAGGCACTATTGAAGTGGATGGACTTTAGCACCGATACACACTCAGGACTGTGACTATATGCTCTGCTGAATTAGGATCCAGTGGGAAAAGCTCAGTATCTCAAAACCAAAGAACTCTTAGAAGACTATTAGGAGAACATGACTATTTCTTAAAAGGGCTTAATGGCAGTGAAGTGGACAGGGATGTGCCCTGCTTAGCAGGACAATCATATGGACAGTACAGAATACTGGGAGGCCTGTTTCTATATACAAACAGGTAGGGAAGCCAAGCCCATGAGGAATATGTGTACTAGACTAAAAGGACTAGGTAGGCCTGAAAACTCTGGGTGATATGACCTCTTTAGGGTGAACGACAGATTTTCAGGGAAAACCTCTGTCCTGGCAAACAGCCCCTGCCTGCCTTGCCCTGTCAGCAATGAACAGTTTCTTTACAGATCCAGGCTGTTCTGTGACTGCTATGAAATTCATCTTTCTGTAGATAGAGCTGAAGAGACAGCAGTTCCAGCCATAACAAGGACCTCACGCTAAGCCCCTGCAAGAGGTGACCTCCCCAGGACAGAACAAACAAATTATCTCTCATTTTCTGTTTTACCTCTGACCTTAAGAAAGGTCTGCTCCCGAGACACAAAGCAAATGGCTCCCTACAAATTTAACTGGACATCAAACCATCTCTCCCTGCACACAGGGCACAGCAAGGTGACCTACACAGCAAGGATGCCTCCTGTGGCACAAGGGTTACACTCCCACTATGCACTCTTCTTTGCTAGGTATTTCCAAGCCCCTTCTGCAGGAGTAAAATGACACAAACACTCAGGCTTCCTCCTTCACCCCTGCTGGGATTCAGCAGCTGCAGAGGATGGACAGCTGGGTTTTATCTGCAGACCAAGCTTTAATCTGAGCACACAATCTCAGTCTTTCACTCCCCAGCCCCATGCTCTCCCCCGCAGCCAATTGCTGAGCATCTCTGCAGCCTGTACAAGGTACCCATTCATTCCAGGGGAATGAGTCACCCAGCAGAGCACAGGATAGCTAAAGGCTGCTCCCAACCCTCAGGAGGTTGAAAGGGGGCTAGGAAGGGTTGGCAAGCCTACACAACGGCTGGGTGTCTTTTGCTGGGACCAAGTTACGCCTTAACTGCTCTGACATCTCTCTGCCGAGGAGGGGGTAGGAGGACGGCAGGATGCTGAGAACAACCAATGAACTGGAAAGTTTATTTATTTTTCCCTGCTCTGTGTAATGTCAGAGGCATTCAGGTAGAGCTGAAGTTGTGTCACCACAAGCTCTGCTGGTTGTGCTGGCTTACAGTGAGTGGATAGAAACAAGCATGTATTCAGCAGACCTTAAAAAATTTGAGTCACAAGGCCCTTGCAAAGCCTTGTGTGGGAGGTTAGTGCATCTACCACCCATGAATCCAGTCTGTCTCTGCTGATAGACTGCACCATTATTCCTATCTCAGTCTCATCGTTCCCTGAGGGCTACTTCCAAGTATAATGCTGATATAGGGGAGCAGTAGCTTTCACTATGGACATAGAGAGAGCACAGGGCTGCTCTCTCTGCTCTTCACGTGTGCCTGCAGGGCTTTCTTAGAGGTCTGCTCTGGCATGGAACTGTAGGGACATGCCCTACTTGCTTCCCAAGTGGCTATGGAACAAGTCAGAAATGTGTGATGATCCAAAGGCCTGTAGCAGATACATGCCTGGACCTGGGTGGGCTCTGGGCAAAATTTACTCTTGCTCTGGCTCCAAGACACAGTGAGAGCTATCTGGTGTCTCCTCAAGATCTACAGGGTCCAAGTTGCCTCTGTCCAGCTTCAAGTGTTTGAGTGAAGTACCAAGTGTTTTCTCTGAATAACCCAAGAAATGGCTCAACCCTCCTACAATCCAAATAATTACCTGAAGACCTTTCTACCACCTGAAGAAGAGACATATAACAACTATACTCCTAAATCAGCAACCTCACTTCAATGGGAAGGCTCCATGCTGAAATACAACAGGAACAGAAATCACAACCCATGGATGTTCCCTTCTCCCTATCCAAGGCAGCTAACTAGAAGAGGCAGTGTGAGGGGCCAAGCCTGAAGAGAGCCACCTTCTTTCTTTACATGCAAGGTCTTCTGTTTGTTGGATCTTTTCCTGGGTCTCCTGCTTGCATCTTGCCTGAAGTATAACACAGTAGTAGTCTGTGTGCTTGTAAGAGCTGGACTGACTGCAGCATCACAGCCATCCTGTTCCAGCCAGATCCACTGCCATGCCTGCTCACAAAGAAACTCCATGTCTACCCCCCAAGCCTCAGCACAGTGCCTGGTCAAGGAAGGCCAATAAGCAATGACAAAAAACATAGCACAGCTGTGAGTGATGAGCAATGAAATACTACGAAAAGCCTTGAAGTGGGCCCATAAAGCTTCCCCCCCAGTTACTTTTGAGTACCTTCTCACTGGCAGAGCATAAGATATGAAAGAAAGAAGGGGAAAAAATAAGCCCTGGACTTAGGATAAACATGACCCAGCAAGAATCCAAAACATCAGTACCTTATCAACATTATTCTCATTCTGAATCCAAAACACAGCATCATACCAGCTATTGAGAAGAAATTAACTCTATCCCAGCCAAAACCAGGACAGTTACGTAGAATGCAGCAAAACAATTCATAGCTTCCCGAGTCTTCCACAGAAAGACACCAAAACCCAGAGATGCATTTTACAAACAGCACCCAAAGCTGCCAGCAACTGATTTTTAAAAGCACCAAGAAGGGACTGGGGAGAGCAGAGTGTGCTGCTTACACCACTCCCTCCCACACTGACATGGGTCTCTTGTACAGGGAGAAATTGGGACCGGCTGGCACCGGCCCTGGAGTGACTGTCAAGCTGTCAGGATTATTGTCTGAGCTCAGAGCTGGCAAAGGCTCCCAGCCAGGCTCACCCAGCCCTGGCAAGCACAGCCCTATCTCAGATTACTCAAAGCAACCAAAGCAGAGCACAACCAAGAAGAGACAATAGGCCTGTCGCGACCAGCCACTCCCGAAGGACGCGTGGTGTAAGGAGACAAAGCACCTTTTGTTCCCAAGAGAAAATTATTAGTTTTCTATGACAGAGTAACAAAGAAAACCCCACCGGATTTTCATCCCTAGCTTCTGGCTGAGGCAAAAAGACAAAAGGAGATCTCTTTGGCATGGACAGTAAGTGAAGCAAGGCCAAAAGGGACTGCTACAGACCAGGAGCCTAATGAACAAGCATTAGCAATGCACTCCCTGTATCCTCCTCTATACTTTATTCTCCCCTCCTGGACCTATTCTGTCTCTCACTGGGATTACCAGTACAAGCACCAAGCTTGCTCACAACTCCTACTTCTGTTCCTCTGTCCAAACAAAAGAGGGAAAATAGGACAGTCAGGTGAACAAGGATTTGCAAAGGAAGTTGCTGGTGAAGAGTTGCCGAAATATCTTTTTCTGTACCTGTGAAAGCCAAGAGCCACTGATTGTTATTTCAGTGTCTGCACACACTAAAACAGATTTGCTGCCACATTCCAGACTGAAAGAGAAATTTGAGAGGGAGGGAGCAAGCAAAATAGAAACTTCAGGGCTGGTAAAATCTTCAGTGTAGGTGGGTGAGCAGAATGCTCAGGAAGTAACATAGAAAGGTGTAAAAGCAGCAGCAGATTATTAAAACAGTACGGGTTTTTTTTTCATGGAAGCAGAACTAAAATAATTTTTTTGCAACTGAAGAAAATATTGGAAATGTTCTGATTTTTGACAACCAAGTGGAGAAGCATGTTCATTTGGCTTGAACCTACTGTCATTAAAAACCAGTTTTGTGATAGATCTCATTTTCCTCTCTCTTCCCATTTTCCAAGATAATATGGGATGGGCAGGGAAGGAGGAAGAGAGAAATGCCACAAGATTTTGTTTTGAATTATTTCTAATAGACGTTCTTACACAGAGCACAGATATTATGACTATAGTTTGTACTTTTAAACCACGCAGCAGTAAGCACAGTCTTTGTGTGGATGAAAGGAAATGCTCTGCAGTAAAACCTGTCCCTTAGGACAAGGACAGCACTGCTGTCAGGAACTGGAGGCCTCAGTGGCATTTGCTCTATGACAAACAAATAAGGTTGGACAACCAAGGTGCTTCCCTCCCTCCCAGCATGGTTCAAGAGAAAATGGGGTGAGTCTTCCTCCAAACAAAACTTACCACTCTCAGCAAATTCCGGCGCTCTTTGAAGGTGGCACAGCACCCAAGGATGCCAGTAACCATGACCACCACCCCAGCCACCACCAGAATATAAGCAGTTGCAGAATAGGTGCTGGAGGAGAGCAGGCTGATGTAGTCACTCTTCTCAGCTAGGGTCCAGGCACCCACTGCCATCACAGCCCCACCAGCCAGCTGCAAGAGAGAGAAGCAAGAAAATGAAGGGTGTCTGATGCATGAACTTTCTCACCTCCTACAGCAACTGGATGGGGACACCATGATGTGCCTCAGTTCTGTAAGCTGAGCCAAACATGATCTACACTAGAGGATGGACTCCCACAGGTCTCACTGGGATTGGTAGCAGACCCCAGTAAAGTGGGAAGGGTTGAGCTTCAAAATATCTGGTTTAGCACACCAGGAGGCCTGAGGTAGAAGCTATCTGAACCATTGACCTATGCACAGCAATTGATACTCAAGACTGGAGCCTTTCCCAAATGTAGCCACACTGTTTTGGGGGCAAATAGGAAAAAATATGTCAAACCTATTTGACCAACATGGCTGCTTTAACTCTAACCCTTGCAGCAAATGAACACAGTGAACAACCACACTTTCAGCAGTCCCCTCTCTCTTTGCAAGCCTTGCGTTTCTAGAGGGTTTTATGCAGCTTCTAATCAGCTCAGTTTCCCTGTAAGGTCTGACTTGGACACCCCAATGCTCTGTCCCATGCACCAAAGTGAAAAAGCAATCCTTTGACATCAGTAACTTTTCTGGTGGGAAGCACAACTCTAGGAAGCTCCAGTGTGGACTAGCTGCAAGACATGTGTTATCCTTACTCTAGCTGTACCACTCCACTTACAGGACTCCTTGCTATTCCTCCTCTAACAAGAGGAATGGCAAGACAGCAGAGTCCTCAGGCTGCTGGAAAAAGTAAACCAGGTGAAAAAAACAAAGCTTGTTTTCAGGCTCCTTGTTATTTCCTATATTTTGTAACAAGACCTACAAACAGCCACACACTACAGTGTCAAACCATAACTTCTTCAGCCTGGGCAGCACAAAAGCTGTGTCCTACTGATGTCAGCACTTCTTCCCAAAGACATCATCAAGTACCCCTGACATCATAACTGCAGTACCATCTCAGTGCCTCTGAAATTGAATGAAATTTCTTACCCAAAAAAAGAAGTTGAAGATGAAGAGCAGGTACTTCAGACAGATGGTCCCACATGTTTCCTTCTTTTCTGTATACTCACGCATCTTTCTGGCTCAGCAAGCCTAAACCAAAAATCAATCAGAAAAGCTTGAGTCAGGCAGTCATCACAACACTTCTCCCAAAAGGCAGCACTGCCACTCTCCTCCTGCACGAATTCACACTTCCAACCTTTTGCTGAAGTGAACAAGCCATTCAATTGATTTCAGGCATGTAGGGCAGTGCTTGCTTACATAAAGAGCTCTCATACCCATTTGGGTGACCCACACACATAAGACCTTGCACAGTATGAACAGTACCTGCATGTGACCTTCCAGTACTGCCTTCATCCTCCTCCTCTCTCCTCATCCTGCTGTCGCTTCTGGAGACTCACTTTCCTTCCGTTTCCTTCATTTTCCACTTGCAGTGGAGGGATCAGCCCTACCACTGTGTGAACAGTCAATCCAAAATCATGGACTGTGTTCAACATTACAGCATGGAAACTTCAGTATAGCTCATGCTCAGTTCTGCCTGTTTGAACCCAAATGAATGAAATCCCAGATCTGTTCTCCAGAAAATCCCAGCATCTGGCTCCTGACTACAGCCTGTAACTGCTGTTCTGAAGATGGCAACAAAAACCACTGTCTTTGATATTTATGGAATACTCTGTCTCCTGAGAATATTATTTCCTCACTGGCATTAGTTACTACTGCCTTAAATAGACCCTTCTCTAAGTTTGGTCTATTTTTAATCTTCACCGCTGTAACTAGGAACATACTTCTTCTATGTTCAAATGTCCTATTCTTTTTGAATCTCGGCAATACATTGGAGTTAATAATCCTCTTCTTCACTGCTTATTTCTCATGGCCCTTCTCACTGGCTAGCTGTCTTCCAGGGCAGCTGTCCCAGCTATTAAAGAGCAAGAAACAATCACTGTCTTCAGATGATCTGACAGCACAAAATGCCCTTGCAGGTACTACCAAATGGCACTGCCCAAAGTATTGCTGCCAGCATCACCTGCAGGAGGCAGGATTAAAAACTCAGCCCTTTCCTCCAATGATGCAAACATTGTGCACCCATATCAGAGCAAAATACTTTCCTAAAACAGCAACTTCCATGGAAGCTGGCAGGCAAACAGCCTCTACATTTTTCCAGAGGCATGGAGTTCATGCTTACTTGAGATTACAAAACTTCTTCCCACTAATGATGCAAGTTCCCTCCAGGCACCCACTGCAGCTGCAACCCAGCCATGAAGTACAGACACTCATCTACCTTAGCAAAACACCTGAGAGCAAAGAGTGTAAGCAAAGGGTACACACAGGCAGGCTGCACATCAGGTGATTATCTGCATTACCTTTGCTGCCACACTGAGAATGCCTGGCTTTAGAGCCGGATGAGCCAAGGCTGGGAACTGCAGCTGCCCATCCTGCAGCATAATTGTATTTCATTTGCAGGAAATCATTTCCTTTTGCTTCATGCCAGACCACTCAACAACCCCAGCCAAGCCTGTACTTTAGAAACTAACAAATGAAGCTAACAGGCAAGGCAAGGGTGAGAACATGCCACAGTCCCACCCATGCCTGTCCCCCATCAGCATTTCACAAGAAAACATTTTCCTCAAGAATAACATCTGGCAACAGCACTTGGCAGCAGGAGGCTGTTTCACTGGCAAAGGGAGCAGCTCTGAGGTGGTGGCACAGATCAAGGAGAACAACTCTTCAGTTATCTTCAGAAGAGATCAGAACCTCCAGCAATGCTCAGATTAATTACCATGTTGCAGCACAAAAGGCCTGGGGCAGTGGGAAGGAATGGATGCTGCCGGTACTGTATGTACTGAAGAGACTTACAGATTCTCTGCAAGTTGCCCCGTGAATGCAACACTCAGGGAAGGTGACAGATTTACAGCTCTCAGAGGCTTAATTTAACCACAGAGCAGGAGTGGCAGCAGCAGGGCAGGTTCCCACAGCCACACACCTGCACAACCCAAAACAACTACCTCAGCCCAGACCTCAGAGAGGCCTTTCGTCCACCTCTTCTAACAGCAGGGCTGTATAGAGATAAACATGCACTGCAGGTTTGCCTAGACCAACCCTCGTTCCTACCAGTGATAGCCAGGGGACAGTAACAATACTGTCCTTGGGGTGGCTCCTTGGCCCAGTTACCCCTTACTCTCTTGCTCCCAAGAATTTTGGGAACCTTCCCTCCTTCCCCTCAAAGTACATCCCTCATCCAAAAGAAAAAAAGCAACTATAGGTATTTCCACATATGGCCATAGAGCAGGTGCTGGGCCCTAGCAATGCACCCCCACTTGCCCCTCCTTCTGATCCAAGAGCTCAGAAATCCCAGTCACAGCTGCATCTTGTTCTGGATGAGGACTAGGCAGACATACAGCTCAGACTGCACTTGTACTCAGAAGACGGTGTGAAATGCCCCTCAAGGCCACAGGTCCTGCCCCAAACAATGCTGCAGGTTTACAAAGCACCTTTCAGGCTCTGCTGCTGCGAGGAGAGGAGCTGACTGCTTCCAGAGAGCTGGCAGGGAACAGCTGCAGGTTTATGAAGCATGGTGATTCACGCAGAATGGCAGGTCATGAATCAGAAAGCAATCAGGACTGTCTCCTGTTTGATCTATCCTTCCTAGCCAGGAGCAGAGCTGATGGCACTAGCTGCCTCTGCATGCTCAATGACTCACCCAGGCAGCTATTCAGGGAAAGGCAGCTCTCTCTAGACACTCTTTTTGGAAGTCATTTGTTTGTGCTCCTTGACTCATACAGGGTGGCCTGCTGCCTCCCATCACCTGCAAAGGCAGGGTCAGCCTTTAGGAAGCTATTCTGGGCTTCAGGCAAAGTGAGGGTAGAAGACTACAGTGAAATGCTTTTCCCAAAGTGCTCAGGCAGTTATAAGGGGAGCCACAATCTGCCTCCCAGGCTTAGGATCACTTCAAGCTCTGAGCCCCATGGTCCCCAAAAACACAGAGGTGTTGATCTGTGCCACAGCACCAGGATGAACATCCTGAATTCACTGACATAACCAGGGTCTCTTGCCTCCAGTCATCTTCATTACAGACCCTCAGAAGTGATATGCATCACTCTCGAAACCAGACAAGAAGCAGCAACAGTAATTAACACAATTATATTCTATTTTAAAACATGGAGGCAAAGATCTCTTCTGAATCACATCAATAATTACAAATGAGCTCTCCAATGAACAGAAAAGGGCAAGCTCTGCCACAGGGGTCTGTTTACAAAGACATAAAAACATATTAATTAAACATGAGTTTCATAATGGGGAGCACTTTGCTAACTGGAAAAGTGGTTAGAAGACTGAAAGCACTTCCATAATGAGGTTCACCTGGTCCAGTCCAATAGACAGTAGCTTCTTCAGCAAGTTAAATTTAAGCTAGCAATCATGGAATATAGGCAGTGAAATTCAGTCATACCAGGTAAGAGGTATTTTCATGGAATTCAGCAGAAATCAACAAGAGGTTCCTACTATGCCCACACACACTGTGACCAGGAGAAATAATCCTCTAGGGAAATCGAAATGGACAAAGCTAGGAGGAAGACAAGGACAAACTCGGTGCAACAGAACCTGTACACACATGGGAGGGTAACAGTTTGGAGATTAATTCAAGAACCTGGAAGATGAACAGCTTGAATCCAACTCTCCACTCTGACACAGACTTTGTGCACAGGCTTGAGCAAGTCCCTTAGTCTGACCCTTGCCTCTGCTCCTCCTCACCAGTGCAGAACCCTCAACTTTCCCTAAACCCAGTGATGATATAAGGATCTGCACTGAGAAGTCCTGCTGACAGAGGAATGCCAGCTGGAATGCCAGGCTCCAGGGGACTGACCTATGGCAAAAGCTCTACAGCAACACAATTCCACTGCCTCAAAAGTGCTTTTGCCAGCACAGGCTACTTCAGTCAGTCAATTGGAGCAACCTTGTTTGGGGTTAGTAAAATCCATACATAGAGGACTCTCAGGTAAAGCAACGGTGGCAACAATATATAAGGGCTGCTGGTTGAAATATATCAAAGATTAAGAGATGCTAGTAATGAAGAACAAGAGAATGGAGTAATAGTGAAGCCTCTACACGAAAAGCAAGGAGGAAAGGATGACCCACCTACACAAAAATCTCAGAAAATAGAAAGTAAAGAGTGAACTCATCCTGTCCTGTCTGACTACAAGCCTGCTGAGTAACATGACCGTCAGGCAAGGTTGTGTTCACATCAAAAGTGAAACCATTCCATGACCTGATTTTCTTGTGCTCTCATCCTTGTGAGATTGAACCCTTAAGACAAATTGGAGGGCAGGAACTGAGCACCTGGGAACACCAGCACTGCACAAACAGTTGTTTTGTTGTGCTGAGCCACCTAAAATTTCAACAGCAGGACGTGCGTTGGGTATCCCACATTGGACCACTGTATTTCTTTTTGCAGGCCCAAAGGCACATACAGGCACACACCCACTTCCCAGCACAGTGAGCAGGTGACATGCACACACACACTCCTGCTGGCTAGACATTCATTTAGTAATCCCAGACATTGCTTGGTACATTTGCCTCAACTTGCACAGTAACAGTACTTAATTAAAGAGCAGAGCAAGCCAGGCCTGCAGGCTTTTCTCTCCTGCACAACCTGCCCTAGAGGAGCATCTGACAGATGGGGAAGAAACAAAGCCAAAGCAAATGAAATAGCTCCCAGGGCATTAAAAGCATTGTTATTTTTAAGTATTGATTTTTGAATGATAGCAAGAAAATTGGTACCAAACACACCAGGGGCATGTATTTCATAGATAACTTGGATGCCAGAAATTAGTTAACTTCTAACATCTTTGCCAATACACACAAGAAAGATTTACTACAGGAAACCCCACTGCACCTATGCTGTTACAAAAGTAGTGCAGCCCCCCCACCAACACAGCCCCCTAAGGTGCCCATTGGGCATGGAGAGAAACATTCTGCTGAGTCTGTCTGAGCTGGGCCCAACAACCCTGGCAGCCATTAGCAAACAAAGCAGACATCCTCCCCTTGTTATGTGTGCAATGCAACTGTGAGCCAATAACTTATCTTCAGCAAACTGACTGAAGACTTCATTCTCCAGCCTTTGAAAGTCTAAACTCCAACCTTTGAAACCATGACCTCTCCTAAGTTCCCTCTCTGTCATCACCACTTTACCTACCCCACTGAACATCCTCAGAACAGGCCTCCAGCTGCTTATCAACTTGCCAGTCCAGAAAGCAGCTAAAAGCCATTTAAGCGAAACCTTCCCAGGAAAGAAGTTTTCACTTTGCAGGTAAAGAGCTCAAATTTACACTGTGTGCCATTAATCTACCCCAAATGAATAGCCAACATGGGTCAACAGTCTTGACACTGACCTTTCACCACCAAAGCTGCTCACAGCACCAGTGCAAATGTTCAGTTCTCTTCAAGTGCTTTCTTCCACCCCCTCTCCTCTTGCTGGCTCTGGTCTGCTGCTGGATTCAGGAAAGCAGAAAGCTGTAGAAGAAGAGAGATGCAGACAATCATGAACTATGTCAAAGATTATTCTGGGAATCAATATTTGCTTATAAGCTTTTCTTTAAATAGGGGCCAGATGATTTCAGAATACACCTTGTGAACGCATTTGATTGAAGTGCGAAGCATGCACTGGATAACAGGGAAGAGCCAAGCTGTGGCAGTGGGGAGTATGAAAACCTTCTGCTGGAAGAAAGCTGTCAGAACAGGTTTATATTTACTGCTGCATCCTGTGAATGCTGCTAACATTTATGTCAGGGCTCATTCTGATGCAAAAGGCCTGAAAGCAACTCCATGAGACAGCTCAGGAAGAAGACCCTTCTGCGCAGTATGAAGCCCTAACTGGTGCTAGTGCCTTGAAGTGCTCATTGCTCCTAGCCCTTCCGTGGGAGCTGCCCAGGAAGAGCACAGTGGAGGGCACACAGGACCAGAACTCAGAGGGCCTATGAGCCCCAGCGTACAGAGCAAGAGCCAGAGTAGGGCCTTGCAAAGACAAAGCACGCTAGGAAGTCACTGTTTTCTTCAGCCTCTGTCCCTGTCAAAGTATAATCATGGCACAGGTCCCAAGCACCATGGCAAGCTCTGCTGGAAAACAGCTCCCCTGAATTGATCTGGCAGTTGCCAGCCACTCTAGAGCAAGGCTTCAGCCTCCCAGTGCAAATGCAGAGCATCTCCTTCAGATAAGCAAGAAGCCACACAAAGGTGCCTCCAAACTCGATATGAGTTACTTCTCTACAACCTTACTATACTTGTCATAGAATCATGGATTGCCTACAGCTCACTGTGCCCCCTTCCCCAGAGAAGCTGGGGTGGCTGAAGTCTCCCAGCAGGACAAGAGCCTGCAAGTGTGATGCCTCCTGCAGCTGGAGCAAGAAGGCTTCGTCAGTAGGCTCCCCCAGATCAGGCAGCTGGTAGCAAACACCAACCATCAGGCTCCCTTTGTTCCCTCGGTCTCTGATTCTTATCCACATGCTTTCAACTGCTCATGGCTATTCTCCAGAGCCAGCTCTTCACACTCTGTCCATTTCTGGATGTAGAGGTCAACCTCACTGCCTGTCCCTTTTGAAGAGCCTGTAGCCATTGATGGCCACACTCCAGACATGGGATTCACACCACCAAGTGTCAGTAATGGCAACCAGATCGTAGCTTTCTAGCAGCACAGTGGCTTCCAGCTCCTCCTGTTTGCTGCCCACGCTGTGTGTGCCAGTGCAGAAACACTTCAGTTCAGCTGTTGTCCATGTCTCCTTTTAAAGGAGCAAGTCTTAATTCCTTTGAGGTATTTCACTGATGTTTCCCTGGTGGCTCCTATTATCTCAGGAGAGCCTGGTCCCCCTCTAAGACTTCACGTGTGCTCCAGTGTACCCAGCACACTGCGAAACAACAGGCTGAGGGCCCTTGCTAGCACTCCATCCCTCTGCCCTTTGGCATGTCGTCCTATGATGTGTCATTTCTGTGGAGGTAGCTAGGCTGCATAAAGCTGCTGTACTGGAAAATGGCCTCTAGCATCCCCTCTGTCCCCTGCTTTTCTAAGATGGAGGGTCCCAAACTTTCTGCAATCCCTTTTACTGCCACAGCTTCATCCATCTCACCTTCATCCTACAGCAGGCAGGTTTGATTCTCCCTGTAGTCTGTTTCCATTGGCACTGCGGGCAGCAGGATGGAGAGAGGAAAAAATAACAATTCTTCCTCCCTATCCCTTCTGTTTGGATACTGAATTAATGATCCTTTGATCTACGCCATGACACTAACTCACTTCACAGCCTAAGGCTTAAGCTCTTATCTACTGCCCGTACCAAGATATGGAAGCAGTAATACCTTCTGACTTGCCTGAGTGAGATAATGGAGTGTCTGAAAACCACCCAGGAAGACAAAAAAGGTACTTTTTATTAGCAGATCAGATTTAATAATTCATAACCATTTTAACTTCCTATTACATTCAAGGGAGGAGTCCTGCAGGCCATTACCTAGCACAGTATGGCTGACACACTTTCATTTATAATCAGTTTGAATTACCCCTACTTTCCATTCCCTATGAAAAATGATGGCAAGCAAGAGCCAGAAACTTGCTGATTCACACTACATGAGAGAAACAGTGGAAATCCCAGAACTTGAGCCACTGAGAAGCAGGCTAATGTTCCTGGAATCATTAACTAAGGAGCAGACAAGGGAACTTTCTGAGGAGCTGGGGAGAGGAGGGTAGGCACAGGCAGCACAGTCACATTCAAGGCAAGCAATAGCTCTGAAGCATCCTGCTGAGGCTGAGCCCAAACTCCCCTCCAGCAGCCCTTGTACCCTACCATTTATCCACCTTCTTCACGCTGCTCCCACACTCCAGGCCTTTCAGAAGGGAAAGCTGACCCAGGATGCAAAGCTGAGTGCCTTGCTTTCCACCTCAGCATGTTGGAACCTGCTGCATAATCAAAGTACTTGTGCCTCTAGGGCTGGGGAGAATGCAAAACACAAGTCAGAGGCAAAGCTCCTTCTAAGGAACTGTCATTTAAACTTGGGAGGGATAAGCATACAGGACAGATTTTGGCCAAAATCCATCCTCCCTGACATCTTTGGCAGACCGTGCCTGACCCTACCTCTTGACTGGGAAAGCACTTTCCTGAAGAACTGAGAGAGGATAAGTAAGATCCCATTCTGGGAATTTGGAAGGATCTCATCTCAACACTCTCTGGGTCTATGCAAGATCTCTACAGGCACATCACAGTCCTGCTGTCACCCCTGGAGATGCTTGCCAATTCTCTCTTTTCTTCTACCCTGGCTCAAGTTGCTTTTGAATGCACCCCTCAAGAGAGATGTAGACCGTAACTCCTGCTAATTTTGATGAGAGCCAGGCACCCAGAGAGGAGCTGTGTGCCTAGTACCTGAGGAGCTGCCTGCTCTTTGAGACAAGAGCTGTCTCTGAGGGGAAGAGCACTCAGACCTTCCACTCATTTTCCAAGACTGCTTACTGCCCAGGGGAGGAGCTTACTGAAGCATAAATAACAGTAAGCATAAATTTCAAACTCAACAAGGATTTACATGTTCAGCACCACCCACATACCTGCGAATTAAGTGTTTTATGAGGGGTTTAGCCAAACCTGGGTGAGGCAATGCCTGGCTTTAGGATCCTTTAGGATAAAAGGGACCTCGGCATAAAACCAATTTTACAATCATTAAGATGAAAAAAAGCATGAGAAAGAAGGAGTGATCGAGCATGCCTGGGACTGCATGTGACTTTGCTCTAGCACTGTTTCACTGCAAAGCAAACAAAAAACCCTTCATAGGCCTTTCTGATCCTGACAGAATATACATAGCCAGTCACAGAGCTGAAAGTCCATGTCTCCTGCTCCCAGAAGTGGATAACCAGGGAAGCACTCAGTCGTTCCAGGAGCTGGAAGGCAGACCAGAGACCGGCACGCACTGCGCGACCAAGGGGAACTCCTTCTGCGTCAAACAACATCCTCTTGTATTTCATAAGGCCTCCTTTATCCCGAAGGATCCCAAAGCACTTTACACTATTTATACACAGGAACCACTTCACTAGTCATTGAACTGAGGAGAGAACAATAACCATCTCTTTTCTCTCACTCGAGGCACCAGAATCAGAGCCTGACTTGTGTTTGCAGAGACCTCATAGCAATGAGGGTTTGCCACAACAAGGAGCAATAGTTCAGATAGGTCAGGGTTAGCTAACAGACAAGGCAAACCCTTCACTGCAGCCTGCTAGTGGTATTTTAAATTCTATTTTCCCAACTTAGCTCATGGGCATTGTGTTCTTTAGGCCTGGGGTTTTTTTGTTTTTAAGCAGGGCTTTGTCTGAGCTGGAGAACTTACCAGTAGCATTAAACCACATTTCTAAACAAAACAGTTTGTGCAGAATCAGCTTTCTGCCTGATCCCTTTCTATTCATTATCTTCCTATTCATCACATTCATTTTCAGCTCAGCTCTCAGAAGCAAAGCCACTGGGTCCTCAGTGTTTTCAGGGAGTGCTCACAAAACCTCCCTGCCTTGTAGCCATGCCAGTACTGGGACCAGGTCAACAAGCACAAAGTCCTGGGAGGATAAAAATCCTCCCAGCCTTCACAAAGCCTATTCAGGCAATTCTGTACAGGAATTCAAAGCACTCTCCAAATAATGCAGCAATAACAACCATTTTTTCACTCCCTACAAATCGCTGGGTTTTCACACAGTGGTTTGAGCTGAGGACAAAGACTAACCAAAGAACATGTGCTGCATTGTAGCTAGTACACAGTTACTAAAACTTTGGCTGCAGTTTCATGGCAGCTTCGCTCCCCACAAATCTCTACAGTGAAAAAGTGCCTGGCTAAAAGCCAGGAGATTTTCTATCTTCCCACAGGATCTGGTGTATATCCCATGGCAGTCCATCAACCTCACCACACCAAACTCACAGACACATCATGAGACTTTGAATTCCACTGCAAAAAAAAGTCACATGCAGCAGTTTTTGGAAGAGAGAGCAGGCAGCTGGGGTGTCACCACAAGGTATGTTTTTAGCCTCTCAATGACACAGTGTTCCACAATCTCACTCTGTGAAAGACCCCTGGCCTCCTCAAAGCACCCACAAACCAAAAAAAGGTAGCATGTTATAATAGGAACACAGAGAGAACAAGTGACTCGCCCAGCAAAGGGATTTACATTCCTCACATCTCAACATCCATCCTGCATCCACCAAGCTGTTCTGTCCTCTGGGAGACCAATGCAGAACACAAAGCTGTAAAACACAAAGTTTTCAAGCTACTTGTTAGCGTTGCCTTACCTGTGCCTGAGACACCTGATTGCAGGCAGCACAAAGCAAGACCTGCACAAAAACCCACACCAGCTTTAGACTTTTGTACAAACTTGTTTTGCTCTGAGTAGGCTGTTCTTGTTCTCACTTTCTGTGGTACAAACAAGCAAAAGACTCTGGAGTCATCACACAGATCTCTCCCAGGCAGCCTGCCTCAATTTCAATTCCACAAAGATCGTATTCTAA